AATGTAATATATTTGTGAAATAAATCTTATATATATATAAATAATATAAAAGTTAATATTATATTTGTATTATATTTAATACAAAAATATAATTATAATTATAGGTTAATAATTATCTTTAAAAAATATATTTTTTTTTCATAATTAGATGGCAAGTGCAAATGAATATATAGCAAATATATATTTTTTGGATGCATTGAACTTATTTATTGAAACACAATGGCTCTATAATATTCCAGTTACTAATTTATTAACTGAAGGATTACTTGATTTATTTCCAGAAGAATGGTTAAATGTTTTGCAAACTTTAAAAAATGAAGAATTTAATAATTTTGTTATAAAAAAAATAACAAAGGTTAGTAAATAAATCTAACACTAAAATATACAATAAAATATATATGATAAATATATATGACATATACTTTAATATACAATAAAATACCAAATATATATGACATATACTTTAATATAATATTATAAATAAATTATTTTACTTTTTTAGCCAGAATGGCCAAAGACTTTAAAAACATTTGTTAAAAAGTGTAGATATATTGATCGATTACCAAATATAAACAGTATAATACCAATAATATTACCAAAAAAATTTCAAACAGGTCTTAATCTTAAAAAACAACATGAAATAATGCATTTAGCATACCTAGTACATATGCAATGTGCATCACAAAATATTAAAACTATTATTGATCTTGGTGCAGGTTTGGTAAGATATTTATGTTTATATAATATTATTATTTATAGAACATAAAATTTGTATTTTATTTTTTTTATATATTATTTTTTTTATTTTTTTTATATATTATAGGGATATATTTGTCAGTTATTATATTATTTATATGGATATAAAGTTCTTGGATTAGAAAAAAGCCAAGCAAATGTAAATAATGCTCGAAGTAGACAAATAAAAATGTATTCTGATTCATTGGCATATGTTAAATATAGTTGTTGTGATTTAACATATAATTCTGTTGAAATAATAGAAGCTATTTTAAATAATGAATTTCAAGAAAAATCAAATATTTGTTTAATTGGTCTACATGCTTGTGGAGATCTTAGTATATATGCATCAAAAATATTTCGAGATATGAAAATAGCACGTATTTTTATTTTAATTCCTTGTTGTTATCATAAACTTTCAATATCAAAAAGTATAAGAATAAATGCATCAAGTGAAAAACAATACTTTAATAATTTTCCTTTATCTAATCGTTTTAAAACTATTATTAATAATACTAATTTTGATATTGGTACCTTTTTGAGGCAACCTTTTTTACGGCTAGCATGTCAAGAACCAGTAGATAGATGGTATAACATGTCTATTGAAACACATAATAAACATTCTTTCTATGTTCTTGCAAGAGCTGTCCTTCAATTGTATGCAACTAAAAGTATGCATATAATTTCATATAATTTTTTATTTCAATTGATAACATTAATAATATAAAGTACATATAAAACATAAATGTTTCAGATGGATTTTCTCTTAAGAAATGTACTCAAAAAGGAACAAGAAAATCACAATGTTTAAATTTTGAAACATATATTAAAGATGCATTGACTAGGTATATTTTACAACCACAAGAAAAAGAAACATTCAAAAAACAAGGTAATATTATACAAGATATAAAGTATATATAAAATATTTTATTAATTATTAAGTATGTGTAAAATATTTTATTATTATATTAAATACTATATCATTATATTAACATTATATTATATTAAAAAATTTTCTATATTTTTATAATTTTATTTTTATTTTTTATTTTTACATTATATATTACAAAAATATTTTTAGACAATATAAGTTTTGAAAACAAAATTAATAGTTATTTAATATAATAAATAGTTATTTAATACAATAAAATAATATTAAGATATTATCTTTTTTTTAGATGTAGAATTCAATCTTGATACACATAAAAAAAATATAATAGAATTATGGAAAAATCATTGTGATAAATTTAAAATTGTAGAAATATATACTGGTTTACAACTGATGTTGCAAGCACCAGCAGAATCACTTGTTTTACAAGACAGATTATGTTGGATGGAAGAAGAAGGTTTAGAAGCAAAAATTATTCCAGTAATGAATAAATATATATCTCCACGAGCATATGCAATTGTATCTCACAAAAAATAATAAATATTTTTATATTTAATATAAATTTATTATACTATAATATATTATAATATATAATATATTTATATATTATATATATTATATATTATGTACTCATAGGATATGTACATTAAAATATAATAAATTAAAGACTAATATAATATAAAATATAAAAAAAAATGAAATTAAAATAAAATTATGTACAAAAATGAAAAAATGAATAAAATAATATAATATTTAATAAATTCATTCAGATATACAATAATTCTTAATTACTATTAATTATTAGAATTTATTACAATTATTATATAAGATCTTACAACTTTTAGATGTTTATTGCATTATAAAGTATATTAATGAAATATATATAAGTACAAATAAAGATCCACTTCAGTTATTTTTTCTTTGTAACATATAATAATGAAAAGAAGCCTGATTGAATAATTGCAAATGTATTAAAATTTTTTTTATGTTTATGTTTTATGTTTTTTTATATTATCATTATTTTTATCTTTTTAATTATGACTTTAATTTATAATTTATAATATTGATTATAATATACATAATATTTTTGTTCTTAATAATCTTATGAATTTTCTTTGTAAAAATAAACTATAAAAAACTATAAAAAAAAACTAAGAATAGTAAGATATTCAATTTTAAAAATAAATATGAAAAACTAAGATCAGGTAAAATTATTTTTTATTCTTATAACATGCAAAAAAGAAAACTATTGATAATCAATTTATAATAAAAATAAAAATCACTAAGAATAAATATGAAAAAGATTCGTGATAATATTGTTTCAGTTATGTCACATATAGTATTAAAAACAAATAAAAAAAAAAATAAATTAATTTTATTAATAATTGAAAACATATAAATCATCAATAATTTCGTTAATTATTAATTAAAAATTAATGTTATTTAAATTAATATTTAAAATAAAAGTTTATTAATTAAAAAAATTAATAATTTTAATTTTAATTTATATAATGAAAATTTTTAATTTAATTTTAATATATAATTGAATCATATTATGGCATTTTATTTTATTTAGTATATATATACTGACTAATAATGTAATGTGTACATTTATCGAGTTTTTGTTTCTACTGCTATATATATAACAAATAAATGCATATATTTTGTTTAATATATATAACTACAATAAAAAAGAAATATTTAATGTTCAATGTTATATATAATATAACATATATGTTATATATAATATAATATTAATATATAAAACTATTTATCGAAAATATCCAAAAAAAAATTATTGTCAAAAAAATTGTATTCCTCATCATGTTCTCAGAGTAGATAATGCATTTAATAATATTAAGATGTTATTAAAAAAATAATATATACATTACAGACGTATATAGAATAGTATATAGAATAGAACACATGCAGAATTTAATATGGTATATATAATATATTATATATAATATAATATAGTATCATTTTAAACATTTAAACATTTATTTATAATTTAAGAATTATTTTAAAAATTATTTTGATTTTTAATTATTTTTTAATAATGTGTTTTTAATCAGTAAATTTATTATTTATAATTTCTTTTCTTTAAAAAACAAGTATTCATGTGCGTGAAAAAAATATGTATATATAATACATTTTTTTTATTGAAAAATTCAATTTAAAATTTATTGAAAATTAATTAAATTATTAAAATTTAATTTAAAATTTTATTGAAAAATATGTATATATAATACATTTTTTTTATTGAAAAATTCCATATAAAGTTTAATTCCAAACAAAATTTCTATGAAAATATTTTCATCCATTAATCCCAAATTTCTGAACTCAAAGTCATTTCAAGTATCTGAAAAATCATGATGATTTTTACATTCTATATTTATAAAAATAATGTAATAAATAAATGAGCAAATAGATATTTATACAGATAAAAAAAAAATACAATATAATATATACAAAGTTAATGTATTCTTTTTCATTTATATTTTACAATGAATTATATTTTAATATTTTGTACAATAATCTTTTTTATATATATATTATAATCTATATATAATCTATAAAGCCTTAGAGACAATTTGATATAATGGATTAACGTTTTAATTATGCATGATACTAATATTATTTTATTTATTATATGAAGTATTAATAAAAGACTTTTTTCTTTTATTTATATTCATATTTCTTTTTAAATGAAATTACATATATTCAATGGAATTCAAATCCAGACTTTGCAGATTTGAAATCATTCCAATATATTCATATTATTTTTAAAAAATTTCATTATTAAATTTTGTTTTTTCATTTTCTTATTGAAAAATATATTCATTTTATAATTTTATTTTTTTATATATATTTTATATATATATAAAAGTAAACAAATTCTATAATATTTTAATATATTTTATAGATATAGATTCTTAATATGATAAAATATCTCCAATAAAACTTTAATAATTATTTTTATAATAAAAATTTAAAATTTAATATAACATTTTTTTTAATTTTTATCACTTTATCTATACTGCTATTTATTATTATTAAAAATCTCAAATTTTGACTTTTTTCATTTCAAATAACAGATTCTCAAAATTTAATTAGTTTTTGTAAATATAATAATTACTATAAATGATTTTCATTTTAACAGATGAATAATTTTATGTAAAATAGTAATTTACTTTTTTACATGAATTTACTTAAAATATAATTAACATTACATTTATATTTTTAATGTACATTACTATAAAGTATAAGAGCCAAACCATAATTTGTATAATTTTTATATTTTACAATGTAATGCTGATATTAAAAAGATGATTTTAATTATAATATATATAATTATATATATGTAAATATTTTATTTAAAAATAAAAAGAAACAAATTATTTTAATGTAATTTGCTATATATTAAAAAATAATAAATTAAGATGAAAATAATTTTCAACTTGAAAAATATTATATTAAAGTCAATATTTTTATCTATACTTTATCTATATGGATGAATTTGTGGTGCTGCCTTGATATTGGTTTTGATTGTACTTGGAGCTTTAGTCATTTGTCCCACTAAAATATATAAAATATATTAATACTATAAATATAAATTTTAATTATAAAATATTATAAAGATAAATAGATTAAAATAAATTTTTTTACTAGGTGGATTTCCTAATGATCCTTGTCCTGAAGTTTGTTGTTGATTTCCAGATCTTCCTACTATCATTCCACTAGGTACTGAATTTACACCTGATTGTACCATTTGAACAGAATCGGACTATAAAAACAAAATAATAAAAAATTTTAACATAATTTTTACATAATATATTAATAAATTTAATAATATATAATACAAATATAAAGTTATATATGTATGTATTTAAAGATTTACATATATAAAATTTACTGTTTTGAATATATAAAATGTTGTCCTAAAAATAATTATATATATAAAATTGTATTCACAAATCAATTGCAAAAATATAGATAATGAAATTTATCTTTATAGTTAGAAATTAAAAGTATTAAATTAATTTAATATGGATGATATAAATGTATGCATTTATTCTAGGTTTTTTTATTCTATTTTCTATCCTCTATTCTATAATTGAAATATTGTATATTGAATAATTGTATCATCAACTTTTCTAAGAAATATGAAAGATGAAAAAAAATTTTTTACATATCCAATTTTTCTTTTGCAAACGCATTTAATATAAATGAATTTATTATATTGAATTTTATTGTATTATTTTTTATTAATTTAAAAAATGTTTTTTTTATTTACTAAATCAATTTTATTTTCAAAAATCAATATCTATTATTGAAGATATTGTAATCAATTTTTGGTATGTTTTTATTCAATTATTGAATATGTTAATAAATTTAAATTTAGAGTATAACATATATTCATAAAATATTTAAAGCAAATAATATAATTAATTTTTTGAATTGTTATAAATATACAATATTTTTTACAATAAGTATTAATACATATTTAATATTTTTTATATAAATTCAAATTTATTGGCTATTGTATCTTTTTAAAACATATATATTAATGTTAATGTTAAACTTGTATATTTTTGATAAAAAGTTAAGAATATTAAATTAAAAAATATAAAAATATTTACCTTTAAACCTTTACCCGTACCCACAGCTGCTATAAGAGCATGAGTGTCTGCTGTACTGCTGGTTTGAGCTTGAGTTGCTCTAGAACCAGCTTCACTTTCCCACTCTTCACGTGCCTTATTTGCTATATCCCATACATGATTAATTACTTTTGTATATTGAGCCACTTGTTTCTGAAAATTATAAAATGCATATATATTTTAGAAAAAAAAGATATTTAATGTTCCACTCGCTAAATGGACCTACTATGAAATTTTTATTTTTAAACTATTAGAGGAAAATTAATCAATTTATATATAATTATTAATATATAATATTAATATTAATATTAATATATATTAGTTTTTTATATAATAGTTGTTTAATATTGCTAAATTTTAAATAAATATATGATATATATGATATCTTTAATAATATATTTAAATATATGATATTTTTAATCAAAAATAATGATTTCCTCTAACAATTTAAATAATAAATTAATAAAAAAAATATTATATATTACAAAAATCTATCTGTATTTATATAAATATAAATAAATTGTAAAATAAGTTGCAATTTATAATATTAGAAATACTATTATTTGCTAATTTAAAGTATATGTTATCATAATTAATTAAATACAAAATTATAAAACAAAATATATTTTTATATTTTTAAGATTTGAAACTTATTTTATATATAATTTTCATAATTATTTCAATTTCAGTCCAAAGCGAATGGAACTAATAAAAACTGAAAGCTAGCTGATAGTAGCTTACATTGCAGTCCTAGTTGATGTTTAGTTAGCACATTAAAAAAAAAATAGAATATCTTAAATTATCTTTAAGCTTCTACAATAAAATAACAGAGATATAACTTTATTTCAATCTTAAAATATTTTCAAGATTTAAATTTATTTAATTTTTTAATTATTATTAAAAAGAAATTAAATTTACATATACTTCATAATTATATTAAATTTTTAAAGGATTTAATATATAAATAAAAAATATTTTTTCTTACATGTGATGTTTCATAATTTAAATTTGCAGCTTTTGCTTCAAGCTGCATCATTTTTTGTTCAGCTTGAGGTTCTACTTTAGTTCGTAGATAGTCTGGTACTAAGTCATGAGCAAATGTAGGAATTCTACCTTCAGTTAAACGAAGCAATTCTTCATCTTTCTCTGGACTTAATCTTAATGGTAAAACTGTTAAGTTTCTTAAATTTGGTGCTTTATCATGTCCAAGAATTTTTGAAAGACTAGTCAGCTATAAAAAAATTTATTATGTAATAAAATATAAATATATAATAAAACTAAATTGAATAAAATTATAATTGTACAAACTACTTTATTTAAAAGTTATATTTTAATAGATATTATCTTATATTAATTCTAATAATTAATCTTAATATATTTTAAATTAAAAATCAGTATATTTTGATTAATTTTTATTTATATGTTACAAATAGAAAATGTAAAATACATACATGTCCTGAAATAAGAGCAAAATTATCAAGAAAATTAGGCCAATTCAATGTTTCATATTCATGTTCCAATTTAAATATCATTGCAGCAATTGCACTCTTTAAATCATTTACTCTCATAATAATTGCCTCCAAAGCAGAATCTAATTGTTTTTCTTCTCTTTGCATTTTAAACCTTAAAAAATATAAGTAAAAATGTATAATATTTTTATTCTTTATTATTTATTACTACTAATAAAATTTATGAAAATTATGTAAAAAATTATAAATTAATTATGTAAAATATGTAAAAACCTATTTGTATAAAAATACAATAATAAAATTTTATTGAGATAACAAAAAACTTTTTTTTGAATATTTGTTTATAAATAATTATTAGAAAATAATTACAGATTGAATATTATCAACATATCTCAATTACAATAATTAATTTAATTTTTCCAATAATTTAATAATTTCTAAAATATACATTATAATGAGCATTAAATTTTATTTTTATATATTAAAATTACAATAAGTATATAAAATATTTAATATAAAATTAATAGTTAAAAATAATAAATAGTTAAATAATTTAGAATTCATAATTGATAATCTAAATATTGTCAATTATTTTTTGTATGAATTGTTTTTATTGCTCATTTTAACTTATATATTCATTTAAATCTTTTTTCTTTATTATTAAAATTTTTACTTCATTTTTATTTTTATTAGCTTGTTTAAACATTTTTAAAAGTATAATTTCATTTGTAAAATTTAAATAATACGTAATATGTTTGTATAATATAAATATTTTAAATTTATTCACTATAACCTCAAACTTCATAATTTGTGTTTTTTTTATTATTTTTAGCATTTACATATCATTTCTATTTATAATTATTATACTTATCACATTATTTATGTACGATTATTAAAAATATTATGTATATCAATTTCTTTAAAAAAATTTTAATGACTTTACTTTTTGATTTATTGCAATGTTAAAATAAGACTCCATACTCCATACTAGTAAAAGCGGTGTTGCCAAGCTTAATACCATGTCTTATATCTAAAGCAAGCTATAGTATGCAAACTATTGATGATTTTTATTAGTGTCTTTTTTATGGTTACAAATTACAGCTGATTCGTGTTTAACTTTCTGGCATCCCATCTCTTTTTATACGGTGTATTTCACTGATATTTTTCTGTTTAGATTTCGTTTTGATATGCCTACTTATTACTTATTACGATTCTTTCTGGATATTCTTTAGTGTTTTCTTTTAGTTCATAAACTAAAATGTCGAAAATGAGCTCAAAAGATAAAGATAATAAAACGTTACATGATAAATTAAAACAATTTTTTCGTATTAATAAAGGTGATTTTATAGATATGATTTTCATAATTTACAATTATATCGTATTATTAATATATTTTTATATACGATTATCTTTAAATACGATTATTTATAAATTATATGAAATACAAAACTTACAAATTATAACTATAGTTAAATGATAAATTATAAATTCATAATCTATTTAAATAAATTAAATAATTTAATTAAATTATTTAAATAAATTAATTAATAAACTTTTTTTTAGGAAATTATAAAAGTCGTGAAGATTTTACATTAACACATGATCTTGAAAAAGAAATTAGTCCTGAAAGTCCTGTACATCATCGAACAAAAGCAATTAAAGATTTGTGTGATGCAGTTCTTAATCAGCAATGGGAAGATGTAGGTAGATTATTTGTAATAATAAATTTCATAATGAAATATATAATATTATTAATTTTTATTTTTTATTAGAAAGCTGCTGAAAGATTATGGTACTTAGTAAAAGATCTTTTGGAAAAAGATATACCTCGTGAACATAGACATGTAACATTGAATTTTCTGCGATGTCTTGTTCAAGGTCAATATTCTAAATTATCTTCTCTTATGAGAGTAAAATTTTTTATGGTTGTTAAAGAACATAATATTCCTGAAGATATTGGACCTAGGTATTATGATTATATTTTTTAATTATATTATATTATATTATTATTAATTAATTATGCATTATATTTTTTAATTAAGTTATGAATTATTATATAGATTGGAACTTTTACAAAGCTTAACAGAAAATGGAAAAGATATATTACATCTAGAAGAAAGAATGGGACCTTTCTTATTAGATTGGATGCCAATTGTTACAGCAGGAGATGGAAAAAGAGGAGCTGAATTCTTATCACTTCTTGTTAATGTCATTAAGTTTAATTCAGCGTACATTGATGAAGACATTATATCAGGCCTTGTTCAGTAAATATTTTATGAATTGACTATATTATAATTAATTATTAAATTAACTAATTAAGTTAAACTTTATCTTTTGTATATTTAGGTATATCTGCCATCTATGTTATTATAGTAATAGTAGTGAAGTTGTTTCTGGATGTTTAGAAGCTTTAGATGCAATTGTTTGTTACAGTAATTTACAGTCTGATTCATTACAAACTTTTATCATAGCATTATGTGGAAGTGTTAATGTTGAAACATATTGTCAAATAAGTTGGAAGGTATATTATTATTAAAATTTTAAAAAGTTTAAATCAAATATACTTATGCACATTATTCATTTAAATTAAAATTATAATATATATTTCAATTTTAAAAATAGTATGACTTTTTGTAGATAATGCGTAACTTATTAGGTACACATATGGGTCATTCTGCATTATATACAATGTGTCGTTTGCTACAAGATACAAATTTTCAGAGAGATGTTCGCCTACTTAGAGGAGCAGTATTTTATGTAAATATGGGTCTTTGGGGAACTCATAAAATTCCAAAACTAGAATGTACTCCTACATCTGTTTTACCTTCATTTTATCAAGTAAGTAATTAAAATCTAATAATAAATCTAATAATTGATTATTTTATACAATTGAAAAGTATTACTTATTGCTTTGTTGTTTCATAAGGCTTTAAAATGTAATCATCCAGTAGTTATGTATGAAGTTATATTATCAATTCAAAGATTAGTAAATAAATATGGAACTGAGTTATGGGATCCTACATGGAGCATTATTCTTGATATTATTGAAGAAGTTATTTCTCATACAGGTAAAATCAAAATTTGTAAATTTTAATGTAAATATTTGATTTTTATTAATATTTGTATTTTTCTGTTAGAAACAAGTAATCAACCTGCAACTAGACAAGTTTCAGTGAATTTACATGAAACAATAAATAGTATTGAAAATTTACTAGATATTAATCATTATAATGGTTGTATTCAACGATTTTATGATCTCGTTGAACGTTGTAGTGATGCAAGACCTGTAATTATCATATTTGTAATTTAAATATAAATTTAAATACTTTTTTTACAAAAAAATATAAAATAAAATTTTTCTAGGAAGGTTCTGTTTTGAAATTAATTGAATATCGAGCACGTTCTATTGGACCTACACATTATCATTGGCAATTTAAACTAGCAAATTTAATGGAACGTTATTATAAGATTGAAACACGTACCAACATTAGAATGAAAGTTCTTGATGTTTTAACAAATGTTGTCCAAATTAATAGGTACATTAAATTAATATATTTTTTAAATTAGATAAATTTTGATAAAAGATTAACTTATATACTTTAATTGACATAACTTTAATGATATTTTTTTTTTAAATAGATCTAGATATGAAGAAGAATTAATTGAACGAATAATTGTGCCATATTTTCAACATGTTGATATGGATTTTGATATCACTATTCGGAATGGTGTTGCACATTTACTTATTGATCTTTGTCTTGAATGTGATACAAAGAGATGTTTAGAACTTTTAGATATATTAGAAAAGGTACATGATATTTTATATGTTTATTTATATATACATACAATATATGATCTTTAATATAACACTTTGAAGGATGAAATCATATAATATTATATGATATATTGTATAATATTTTTAAGATGAATTATATATGTTAAGGTAATCAATAAACCTTTTACATCTGATATACCAGTTACAAAAGATGTTGATATCAAAGATATAAAAACTGCAGTTATTGGTGTGATAAAAATCTTAATATCAAAAATTTATTATTTACCTTCAAGTCATGCTATACGAGCTTATAAAGTTTTAGTGAATTATTTGGAACAGCATTATAAAGAGCCAACTGTCTTCTATGACATTCCTACTATTCGATATTTGGTAATAAATAAAAATGATATTATTCATTATTTCAATTTTACATAATATATTTTTGTATTAATAGTATATTAATTATATTTTAATATATATTATTTTATCATAAAATTATTTTGCATTTTAGATTTTTGAATGTTTCTTAAAAATTAGAGCAAACACACTTTATCATCTTGGATTTCCGGATACTCAAAACTTATCTGTGATAAAGTTTAGTCCATATTTAGTTTTAGAACATACAACAATTGAACGAATAAATAGTGGAGGAGGTGGTAATAGTCCTCCACCAGTCAATCCAGCTCCATTGCAGCATTTATCTTGTCAAATTACTTACATGTCATTGGCACTTGCATGTAAAGCTGTTATTTCCTGTATTAAATTGGAAAAAGGTTTATATTATATATTTTAAATTAATGTAATTTTTTTATATATAAAAGTTACAAATTAATATTTGTATTTATTATATTTTTGCAGATTGGAAAGTTTTACAGTTGGTATTAAAAGAATTGCCTCAAGTGATGCAAAATAGAGCATTAATATTATCACGACATACAAATGACATTGATTATTTTGCAAATGCACTTTGCTCAATGGTATATTATTTTAATTTGTTTTTTTTTTTAATTTTTAAAAAAATTTATTTTATAAATTAAAAAATATATTTTTTAAAAAATATATTTTATATTAAAATATATTTTATTCTAATATTTTAATATATTAATAATATTTTAATATTTTAGGTTAGTGATAAAAGTTTAAGACTTCCAGAATCTCTTTACAATGTTCCTCCAAAATTTACTCTTTCAGAGTTTCGCGTTCATGTTTTTCCAGTATTAGCGTCATTAGCTTCATATCATGCACATTTAGAACCTAATTTACAACAGCGTTTAATAAAATGTTTAGAGGTAAAAATAAAATTCATTTTTTAAAGAAATTACACTGATATAAGATTTATATAATTTGGTAAATAAAAAATTTTTTAAATTTGTTTATTTAGGTTGGTTTAACAGCAAAGTGTGCAAGTCAATGTGTTACTAGCCTTACAACTTGTATTTTAGAGATGCGTGATGCGATGAACAAACTTTTATCCGAAGTACTTTTAAATTTATCAAAAATTTCAGCAACAGTACATATAGCTATACCAATTTTAGAATTTTTATCTAGTAAGTTTTATAAAATCTATAGAATAATTTAATTATGAAATAGATATATATATATATATATATATATGTATGCATGTATGTATATATTTTTTATACAGCTCTTACTAGACTTCCAAAAGTTTTTGCAAGTTTTATTGGAGATCAATACATGTCGGTTTTTGCAATTCTATTACCATATACAAATCCTTTTAAATATGATCATTATACAGTATCCTTGGCACATCATGTAATTGCTGTATGGTTTTTGAAATGCAGATTACCATTTCGAAGAGATTTTGTTAGATTTATTACTACAGTATGTGAATCATTAATTTTTTACTAATATAATAATATTATTAATAATAAAACTTTAATAATAAAACTATCTTTTTCTAATAAATAGGGTTTGAAAGCTAATGTAATAGTTCCTTTTGAAGAAGGTCATTTAATGAAATCAGATTTTAACTTCATAAATGAAGATTCCTCAAATAGAAAACGTAGTTCGAGTTTAACAGAACAGGTATGAAAGAAAGTATTAAAATTATATTATCTTATATTACTATTGTTATTAAATTTTTATTTATAGGGCAGTAGAGGCAGGAGAGAAAGACCAATAATGACAAATCGTATGATAGGAGATAATAAAGCTTCAGATTTAAAGCCTCCAATTGATGAGGCTTTAATGACTTTTCATGTTGAACTTACTGAAACTTGTATTGATCTTATGGCTCGATATACATTTTCAACTTATTCAGCTCGACCTAAA